CTAATCTCCTATTGGACGGAGACCCTTTTCCTTTCTAAAGGTAAATTGCGTTGAGGCTACAAGGCCGTCCTGACTTCTTTGCAAAAGAAATTAAGCCCAAGGGAAGATTGTACTCCTGGCCATACTGACATGGAGCTTACAGTCCCCATGGCTATTTGGGGGCTGTCAGGCTAGGGAAAGCTCTATTGCTGTGGAAAATGGGATGAACAAAGCAACACGATTCCTTCCTTCCCCGCTTGTTTTCTTGTCAAAGGTTTAAAAAGCAGAGAAACTGGCTAAAAGGCAGGTGCGAGATCAGTGTTTCTCAGCCTTGGGAACTTCAAGATCTGTGGACTTCAGCTCCCACAGTTCCCCAGCCAGCATGGCTGGTGGGGGAGTTCTGGGCATTGATGTCCACACACCTTAAAGTTCCCAAGGTTGAGAAACGCTGTGGTAGATGGGAAGTGACTGAGCTTTTCAGAAGGCACGGCCTACTTCCTGCAACTCTGTGAGGATCTTCTAACGTTTGGAAGTTCATTTTTTACATGCAGTTGAATATACAGTAGCTGTGTCATAGCTGGGATGATCAGCTCATCTTAATATTAGGACAACAGGCAGTTTGGGGTAGTGGTTAAAGGCGCGTGACGTCTAGTCCTGCCTTAGGCATGAAACCAACTGAGTGATTCTGAACCTGTTCCCTTCTCTGAGCCCCAGGAAGAAGAGGTTGGCTGCAAAGCACTTGCGAAAATGTTGCCAGGAAGACGGATTTGAAAACACACAGACACCCAAATACTAGGAAGCATGACTCTCAGGCTTGCTTGACACACAAAGAAAACAACTGCCTCCTGTGGTCAATGTTACTGTGTATTATTATGTATTGTTAATCTCAAGTTATTGTGAAATTCAAGTCTTAATGTTTGCAGGAAAGACTTGGACACGGGATTTAAGCAACATTCCTAAGTTATAATTTATTTTACTTATTTTCGTGATTTATATAGCACCCATCTGTTTGCTTGCAACATTGGGCATCAAACATAAGATTAAAAAGTAACAGAAAGAAAAGAAAACCGTGCAAAAATAACAGAATGATACAATAATAAGAGTGCAATATGAGATTTGCTTGGAATTCACATTGTAGGTTGTCTATCACAGTTTTAATTTTAAAATTCTGTTCTGCATGGAGAAATCAACAAATATATAATCTTCTCTAACTTTAGGTGGAGGTATTAAAGCTAAAACAAGATGTTTTTAATAAGACCCCACCTTCTTCCAAGACGTCATGGTAGTCTACATAGCACTCTCTCCTTCAATTTTTCCCCACAAAAGCAACCTTCTGAAGTAGGTTGAACTGAGAATTAAGGATCTGTCCTAGGCCACTCAGCGTGATCCAAGGCCAAGAGTAAACTTGAACCTGGCCCTCACCACTCCTAGTCTGACACCTTAACCACTATGCCATTGCGAATTGTCACATAGTTTAGTAATCTTCAACCAAATCAAATTGGCTGGGTTCATTTCACAGAAAAAATTAAAATGGGGTTTGCTTGTTTGTGGAAACACTGTGCAAATCCATTCAACTGTGGTTTACCTCTCAACTATGGTAAAGCAAACCTTGGTGTACATAAATCTGTGGAATGGGATTATGGAGGAGAAACTATTTTTACGAATTCTTCTTCTTCCCAGCAGGATAACTAAGAGGATTATTGCAAGACATTTTCATTCCCCAACTTTCTCCAAAAATGCTCAGCTACATCAAATGTTCTTTTCAGTTAAGACCTCCTGAGAAGTGGAACATGGTCAACTGTAGCTGCCACCTCAAATTAAAAATGAACATGTCGCTTTTCTGTCTCTGTAGAGAGAAGATTTGAATCTATTCACTGCTCATGACTGCAGAGAATAAACTCGGTTGTGGTCTTTACTACAGTCCAGACTAGGCTTCCCCAAAATGGTGACTTAATGATATGTATCATTCCCAAAATTTCTAGAAGGTGTTAGGTAAAGGAGGTCAGGTATCTCTGTATGGATGGTTGAGGTCAGCATTTCTGCAAGAGACATGATGCAATAATGTTCACCATCCCAATGATGTACTCCAGTTGGCCACCCTCAAGATGTGCTAGACCACAGCTCCCACCATTCTTGGCCAGCAGGGCAGCCAGTTGCAGAAGGTTAGATGAGAAGACACTCCTTTTTCACGAAGCGTTGGATGTTACGGATGAAGCACAAGCTCGGTTCCATCCCACACCCGGAACCAGGGGTAGACTCTTTCTCCAGAGAACGATGCATTCGAGAAAAAGAATATGGAAGTCCTTGTTTCTGCATTGAAGAATTCCACCTGTTGATACAGATAATCCAGAAGCACACGAATCTGCCGGGGCTTCTTTTTAAAAGAGAGCCTGGTGTGTTGCGGAGCAGTAAAAGCCAAGTAATTTCCTTTCCCCCAATATTCTCCAATAGCCCAGATGCCTTCTGTGGGGCTAAAATCGGTCATTCCTTTTCTCTTCACTGACTCCCTGGCAACTCCCACGGCCCATTCTCCATCATGTTTGACTTCCACCTCCCAGCAATGCTTTCCTGACTGGAACCCTTTCTGGCCCAAAACCCACACCCGCGGGTTGAATCTTTGAGGGTTGTCAGGAAGTTGGTGTTCTGTCTCTCCCCATCTCACAGTTTTCCGATCCTGAGAAACGATGAGGCGGCGATGAGCTGTGTCTGGATCAAAGGTCACGGAGTCTACAGGAGAAAAGCAAAAGGATGAATTTATCTGCAGGACTTCTGTATTTTTTT